TGTCATCATCATCATCATTATACACGTCAGTTAGAGGTGGGAAAACACCTCTGCTATTGTGCCGCAATACGTGAAGGAAATACATACTTTGTAGGGAACGGTTTGCTCTCAGATGACATGTTGATAAATATTGAAGGTGATTCGATGTTCCCTGCAGTTAGTCCACCTGGTCCTCCAGGTTGGGGGTTGGACTCAGGGTGGCTCCTTATTCCTTAAAACGGACTCTTTGTAGCACAACACCAAACCGGCTGCCTTGCGGTCAGGTTTTTGAACCAAAGGCTTTGGTTGAGAACCCTAATCGTTCTCCTGTCTAGGCCTGGGCAACCTGACAGTATCCTGCCTACGCAATACAATGCATCTCACTTCAAAGAAATTTCTTATGCTCTGGCCACCGCAGAGCATAATCAACGGTGCCCTATCTGCTGCATCGAACATGGTATAGGCTCCCGTAATGATAATGGCGAGCGGTTACTTCATTTGTGTGAGGATGCTCGCTTATTTCTTGCGAGCACTAATTTCCGACACAGCACCCGCCGAGGGGTGATTTGGCGCCCACCAACCTCGAACCAGCTATGGACGCAAATCGATCATATTGCGATAAGTTACCGATGGAGAGGCTGCGTCCAGAATTGTCACTCGATTTGGAGCACATGTGTGGACATCGACCATGCACTTGGATGTGCTGTCCTGCGGATGCGCTTTGGCGGACGCCCACGACAACGTTGTGAGCGCATTGGCACCAGCCAACTGGCGAAGCCAACTGTTCTGAATGCCTATCAAAGTACGCTGTCATGCGAGCTTGATCAACGCTCACTGGATGCAATTGGAGGCCACTGGTCTCATATTCAACAGCCCTTACTAGCAGCAGGAAAATCCTCATGTGGTATGTCTAATCACCAATATGGACATTGTGTCTCTTCACAGTCTCTGGAACTTATAGATACTCGCCGGGATATTCCGGCTGGAAGTGAACACAATGAAACTCGCAAAGAGCTCCGGGCAAAACTCCGTGCTAACCTAGAGAGAGACCGCGAATTCAAGTGGTCTCATCGTGCATCAGAGATGGAAATGGCCGCTGTCTTTGGTATTCATCGTAAGTTATTCTGTCTGATACGGGAAACGGGCAGCAGGAGACCTGGTTTTAGTGAAACTATACGTGACAAGAGTGGACAGCCTATCCACAACTTATCAAAACGCTTAGAGCGTTGGGCTGAGCACTTTGAAAGGCGATTTAATCGGTCGTAATGGTTAGATTTCTCTCCGGCCACTGATCGCCCCGCTCCCTGGGCTGTCTCTTTGGATCCACCCTCTCGCTCAGAAGTCGAACATGAGATCGAACTGCTGAAGTTAAATAAAGCCGCGGGACCTGATGATCTTCCTCCAGCCCACTTCAAATTCGGGGGGCCTGCTCTTGTGGATGATTTACACAAGTTACTAGTGAGACTGTGGGAGCAGGAAACTGTCCCAACCGATTGGAGCCGCTCCGTCATAGTCCCAATTTTCAAGGGAGGCTCACGATCGGAATGCGACAGCCATAGAGGAATCAGTCTGATCTGCATCGCCTCCAAATTGCTTGCCTCTGTCATTCTTCACAGACTGATTGTGACTCGTGAAAGCCATATTCGTGAAGAGCAAGCTGGATTTCGTCGAGGTCGTGGCTACATTGACCACATCTTCACCTTGCGTCAGTTGTTGGAGCACCGTCACATATATCGGCGGCCCACCGTTGTGTTCCTCGATATCAAAGGTGCATTCGATTCGGTGGATAGACATGCCCTTTGGGACTGTCTACTCAGGAGGGGTGTACCTGAGAAATATTTGGATATTATCCGAGCATTATATGCGCGTAGCACAGGCAGAGTGAGGGCTTACGGCAAGTTGTCATCGCTCTTTAATATCTCTAGCGGCGTGAGACAAGGATGCCCGCTGTCACCTTTCCTCTTTAAATTCACCATTGACGAAGTCCCGGAAATTGCGTTTACAGGAAACGACTTTGGAGGTGTGGATCTGCTCCCAGCAGAACGACTTCTTGACTTAGAGTATGCTGATGATATTGCCCTAATCTGTGACAGCTCACAAATGTGCAAAGCGGCACTGGACAGATTAGCACTGGCTATCCGTCACTTCGGGCTTTGCTTAGCACCCTCGAAGTGCAAAGCGTTCCTCCAAGATCGGTCTGAACCGCCTCCTACGCTGACCGTTGGTGGGGGTCAGCTAGAAGTCGTTCAAAAATTCGGCTACCTGGGAAGTTGTATCAGCGCCAGTGGGAATGAAGATGAGATCACGAACCGTATAGTAAAAGCTCGAGGCGCTTTTGCTAACCTTCGCCACTTATGGCGTCGGCTCGACATCACTGTTGCCGTGAAGTGTAGCGTATGCAATGTAGCGGTACGTTCGACCCTACTGTACGGTTGAAACCTGGCATCTTAGATCAGCCGACATAAAGAGGCTAGTTATGTTCGACCACCGGTACCTTCGCAATTTAGCTCACATCTGGTGGGAACACCGCGTGAGCAACGAGCGTGTTCGACGCCTTGTTTATGGCACAGGAAAAGGAAATAAACGGCTCAGCACCGTTATTTCACGCAACAGACTCTGATGGCTCGACCACGTGTTACGCATGCCAGCCCACCGACTCCCGCGACCTGCGTTGATTACGCGCCAGGGGTGTGGATGAAAGAAGAGGATGGATGGCCAAGCGATGATTGGTTGAGAGGAATGAAGGCCCTCACTTCGAAGCTAGCCTCGATTGGAGCGCCTCGGCTCCCGGTTGGGGTCCGAAAGACGATGAACACCTTTGGCTGGATACACTTGTTGATATGGCTAGGAGCCGACCTCAGTGGCGTTCGTGCTGTGAGTTTCTTTGTCCCACCCCATCCCTCAGCCTCCCATCCAACCACGATCTCACTACTTAGTGTTATATAATTTTGCATAATTTTTTTAGATGCACACTAGCCGGCTGATAGCTTACCGGAACCATCCCATTCGTTGCCGGTATCTCTGCTGGCTTGTACCAGTTGCAATTTTTTGTCATTTTTTCTGTGTATTGCGGCTCAGTAGCTGAGGTGTTCCCCACCTCTAGCTAACGTGTATGATGATGATGATGATGGAGTTAGTCCACAGCAAAAAGTGCCGCGCTCCCCACCGAATTATATTTCAACTTTGTTATGCAAGTGAAGAAAGTCATGGCCGACTAAAACATGAGCGCAAAGATTACGGAGAACGCAAAGCCGAATGTTATTGTATACGTTTTGGTAGGGAATCCGAACATTGCAATATCCGGTAACGGCGCGTGACAGTGGTGGGAGTTTAGGACGGATTGAGACAAAACTATCATAACTACCAGTATCAATTCGGGCATGCAATTCGATGTCGTTTACGAAAATTCTGGTTATTGTGCGAGAGAAGCAACTTGGAGTTGCAGCCGTCAAAACTGAAGACAAAGGTGTATGTAGTGCTTAAGTGATGGATGAAGTAGAGGGTTTGAATTTACGCACACGTTTGAAATGCCACGTTTTTCCACAGGCATTGCAAATGGCATCTTTCGCAGGACACTTTAAGCGGGGGGTGCATAGTATATCCACAAAAATAGCACGTTGTCGTGGGCACCGCTGACACGATCGGTTCAGCCTCAGCTTAGTTGGTGGAGTAATGATGAGTACGTGGAACAGACTTTGTCGAGGCACAGAGAATGGTTTCAATCCCATAAAACTGTGATTGTTTCAGAGCAACCTCCAGCGACCTTGCCATATCTGAAAATTCAATCCTGGCTGCTCCAGGAACCTCATTCGAATGCTCTTTAACTGTAAGCCGGTTTTGAGGACATCACAAATGACGTGGTCGCAATAATTGTCATCTGAGACAGCGAAATTCGCAGTCCTTTGCTAAAAGCTTGAAGCTTTGCACAAACTGATCGATATTTTGTCCACATTTTTGTTTGCACCTAGTTATAAGGTATCGAGCAAAAACCACATTTTTAGAACGCACATACAGGGACTGAGACAGCGGAACTGCACTTTCGACGGTTTTGCATTCAGCGATATTGTGATACACGGAAGGAGACAGAAAGTTGACAAGCATGTCCAGGTTATCTGAGCCATCAGAATGCACTCGCTTTAGAAAGATATTGAATGTTCGAAGCGAATACATCCACTGTTTAGAAGTATCTGGAGCATTCAAATCAGCGTCGAATTTATCAGGACGAAGATTGTGGTCCATTGGGTTGTTAGACCAGAAAATTATACGCTAGACAAAGATAGCACAACAGACGGGATAACACGGATTAGGAAGTATACGCTTTACTTTCCCAACAACGGAGGTTCATCAGCTGAAAGGTAAACGAGTTGCTTGTTATATGACATGAACAAGGACGCAGGTTTATGCATACGACACTCCCCTTACTTGTAATACCTTCTGCCACCAAACCTCTAAGTACTGTGTGTTACTCGGCTCTGTTAAGTTTCTGAGCCCCTTGCGGGTTCCACGGAGCAACGTTCATCTTTATTTGGACTAAGACCCATTGGGTTTCCTATCTTTTGCATCGCCATGAGTAGCAATTTCAGGTGTGACAATCTGGAAGCAGGCGCACCTTTCGCCTGTGTCCTGAAACAAGCCACCTATGTCGGGGTTTAGGCCGTCTGACTATTGTTCACTTTATGGAGTTGCATACTCAGCTTACACGTCCTCTACTGCTGTCCTTCGGTTTGCGATGCGTTTTCTTCATCCCGTACTGACCGCTGTTTAACACTCGTAAGTACCAGCGTTGGTTAACCAACTCACTATATCTGTACAAATAAGATGACACTGATTTAATGTTTCGCCGTGTATCGTTTGTTTTTTGTATTGTTTACAGTCTGAGGACGGCCGTGACATTTGTCATTCGCGTTGCGCTCCTACGAAATCAATTCCACGAATGCTCATTTGACCATGTACATGCCTTTTTTGCCGAAGCCCCATTTGAACACTCTGTTTGACTTTGTGATCTACGTCCCTTTTAGCTCTTTCCTATGCCCGATAAACTGCCTTTCACAGACGATGATGATGATGATACTAACAGGGAGAAGCCAGATTATGGGGAGTCGGCTGACCTTTCCGAAATCGAATCACTCACGCAAGACCCCTACTCGTCTCCGACTGATCCTTCCCTTTCCGAATCGGTAGATACCGCGCAGTCTGGTTTTCCTTCACAAGCATGGACTACCCTGAACAATTGTTTGAGCATGACTAAGTGGGTTGTACCCGTATTACCGGATTCACAGTTGGAGACCCTTCTGAAAGCGTCAATCGAGTTGGCTAAGCTTGGTTTGCTTCGTTTTTCCACTCATCTTAGCCATTTCTATGTTGTTTAGGCAAGGACACGGATTGCTCGATGTGCAAGGATTTTTATTCTTTCGGACTACTCACTTCTTTCTACAAAACATTCCAAGATGGAGCAGTGGATGGCTGGGATTGTCAGATATTAGTATGCTCCCTTTCGGTTGCACCGTCAGTTTTCTCTAGCATTACATTTATATGAATGCCCTCCTAGCCATTGAACTGTGTGCGATCAAGGCCGCGGACGATTGCTTACCAATCCTTGAGTTACAATCAATTTTATTCAGTCCAGATTCAAGGTAAAATTACATAGCCTTTGTCGCACCCTCTACAGATTCCAGCAGCACAGCATGTATCCGACTAACATTTGTTGGAAAATTCAGCACGGAGAGAAAACTAACGGAACTCTTCGCTACACTCACCTTACTCCACTGCTTCCTCATCTTTTGGCCAAAACACCTGGTGAACTTGCAACATTTGCCCCACTAAATTCAGAATCCTCGCGACTGAAGGTATGCCGATTTTTCCTTCAGAATAAAGAATCATTGTTTTCAAGGCCTACTTCAGCTCTCAGTCTCGCAGACATTTGATCCCCATCTTATCAGATTTCATAAACCTTTTCGGTCGGCTGGGTGGATTTGATCGACTTTTATCACGATTCACTCGCTTCGCTGAATTAGACCACTTTCCTGCCTCCCTTGTTGCTGCTTACTTACATCCGTTCAGCCGATGCTGCGACTACCTGCATTCGGGTGTCCTACAGACGTACTTCGTTCCCATCGTGGTATGTTATCCGTGTTCTGCATTTACCTGTCCTAGGATATTGTGGTCCCTCGTTTTTCCAAACTGATAGAAACAAATTCTACCGGTAACCATAAAAGCGACCTGAAATCGGATTCTTTTGCTGAACTGAGTTTTAATTTGCGCTGTCTTCTGCTACGTATGCCGGAGCGAAAAAACTTACTGGAACAGCTCGACATGTTTTGCTTGAATCTAATACTACGCCATTTGCAGGTGAGTATGTTGCTCTAATGACTTGCAAGCCATCTTACTTTCGCGGTTTACACGTGTAGCTCGGCATCGCTGTTTTTTCTGGACCCATCTATAGCCCAGTTAACTGATATTTCCTTTCTATCCGTCCAGCTCAATCGTTTCCCTTCAGCATGGTGTCCTGGACGGATGCAGTTGAGCACTGTTTTAGTTCATCTGTTGCTTTACCTGCTCCAGACTACCCATGTCTCAGGAAAGAACATATACAATTTTGCTAGACCGCCAAACCCTCCTGTAACACGACATTTTCAAATGATAACCGCCGTACCAGTGGTTTGTCAAACAACTGCAACCTAATGTACAAGTATAGTAACCGATCAATGGCGATGAGTGCGGATGCCGTCCATATGATAACATGGCGGAATGTGCTAACTTTAGTCCGCGATTTACCAGTACCTTTGGGTCACATCCGTATTGTCGTATTACACTAGGAGCTGTACTAACTACGACAAAAATGGCAAGGTTGCCATGAGATATTACTGAAGGTAGATTCCGCATGTTCAGGGTATCTCGATCATGATCAAGAGCAATGCCTACCCACCTCAGTGTTAAAAGTATACCGGTTTGATTTTATCACGAGTTCATCACATTTCCTTCCTGTGATCGTGAAAACTATCCAGGTTGACGACGAACTTGGTGGCTAGTCATGTGGTCCTCTACTTTGGTGTCGTAACTCCCAGCTGAATGAACTATCTAAGGGTGTTATATTTACCGAAGCTGACTAGCATCTTCTACAGGAGTTTTCGGAACAGTTCAAAGTTCAATCTAGCATGTTCTCGTAGAAGCTGTTACTGCTGTATTATACTCAGCTGCCCCTGCTTCTCACACTCATACACACTAACTGTACGTCTGCTAACAATCGCTGCTTTCCATCACCCGTTGGTCCATGCTTCCAAGGATATAATTGTGGTATTGATTTCACGGATGCCCATAGAGCTCAACCAGTGGCACTCCTGCCTTCATCCTCGTTCTGTGTGACCTATTACAATGTGCGTACACTCATGCGGTAGACCGACAGGTCAGTCTATGGCGTACCTTGGAGTTCTTCACCACTGATGTTTGTCTCCTTTATTAAACTCTTACAGGGACCCAGTATTGTGCACAGTTACCTCAAAGGAGGCATCCCTCAACCTGCAGCCTGGGGACGCGCTCGGTAGTCTACAGCTCGGCCATGGCTGTGCAGTTGTTGCATCGGGAATGACAAGCTTTTCAACATTGCATAATGTGTGACTCCAATATGACTACGGGCACTCCCCGCAAACCTACATCACCGAGGTCTTCTGGTCGAGTTGCGCTCTCATCCTGCGGGGTAACATCCTGCAAAAGATTTCAAGCACGGGAAAGCGACTGTAATGAGCAAGCTGTTGTCCTCGCCACAACAACAGCAGGCTCTGCAGATGTCTCGTGACGCTAGGCGAAAGCTGCCATACAAAATGCAACTGCACAGTGTAGATGGGTGGGAGGGCTGTGCAGCAGTTACGCGCGGTGCCGCTGCCGTGACCTGTCACCAATGGCACTGTCCACGAATATTTGCAAGCTCAGTCGCTACCGCAACAAATCATTATTGGCCCTTAACCTAAAGTTGACGCGCTTGTCTCATAATCTGACGGCGCGGGTTCGAGCCTGCGTAGAGGCAGAGTAACACTCACAGTATCCTTAACCCACGTGCGACTGGTGGTTGTCGCGCGGCAGCAAAACGTCGGTACTGCTTGCCGGCGTACTGCTGATGTCTTTCTCATATTATCTTAATAATGCTGACGTTCATTGGTCTTACAGACCTTATCGACTATCAACTGCACCAGGGTTTAGTAGCTACAATGCATTCTTTGAATGCCCACTCAACCATCACATCTTGCTTTGTCATCATCGCACATGCCTGCGGTTGCAAGCGACAGGGATGTGGGCCCCGTAAAACTTCTGGTCAAAGTTGTGTGGGACCGATCGCAAACCGTATGTGCTAAGCTGTTGTCAACTTACGGGGTGCGCTCAAGAACACCGAATTATTCATGCTTAAAAATCATCGTACGACAGAAGTAATCATAGATACAAACGAGTGACACCATTCTCCTTGACTTTCTTTTTCTGTTATATATCATTGGGTCGTGTTCTGAGAAATGTTGTTTAGGCATATATATATATATATATATATATATATATATATATATATATATATATATATATACTTAAACTAGGTTTTTTTAAGCTGGATAAATTTCATTCCGCTTTATTTGGTTTGTTCTGCCTCCCTGAATAATGTTCTATTAACTGGCCACGTTGCTTACACTAATTGCGCTTATCGGTAATTTTGTTGCGTTTTGTAGCATTTTTAAGTAACTTGTGGACATTTCTTACTTATCACGGATTTGTTGCTGACGCACTTACTTCATATGGTAAATTAGCGAAGAGTTATGCCACCGTATCTGTATGCATTGTTGGATTTATTTTATTTCAACTTGTCGTTTAAAGTGAATGGCTGTTGTTTGATATCCCCGGTGTGGTTGCGCTTGATGTGTATGTTGACAAGGTGCCTACCTGTCTATTACCCACTACATCGTTCATTACTGGCTCCAGGAGACAGTTGGTCGTTGCTGGAGGGGACGGGGTGCACGGTTCTTGTGGCCGTGCTAGGCTCAAAGAGCGGTTCCATGCACTCAGTGTGGAGCGGACTACGGTCCAGCCACCGCCTCGTGTACGTCTGGTGTGTATGATTTCCCAATTAGGCCGGAATGCTTCCGTTCTGCTTGTTGAAGGAGTGTGGGCCGGCTCCGTTGATGAAACGTGGCTCCCATCCGCATGCCTCCGGTATTATTCCTTCGGATTTACACTGGATATGGGGTGTGTGGGTGGAACTATGGGTGGTGCAGTGCAAGCCACCCATGGTCCCCTTTGTAGGCGCAGGCGTCCTGTGACTGTCCCCATGGACGTCACAGTGACAGGTAAATCCGGATACGGACGCCGCCAAATCATATATATATATATATTATATATATATATATATATATATATATATATATATATTATATATATATATATATATATATATATATATATATATAGATATATATATATATATATATATATATATATATATATATATATATATATATATATATATGATTTGGCGGCGTCGGTATCCGGATTTACCTGTCACTGTGACGTCCATGGGGACAGTCACAGGACGCCTGCGCCTACAAAGGGGACCATGGGTGGCTTGCACTGCACCACCCATAGTTCCACCCACACACCCCATATCCAGTGTAAATCCGAAGGAATAATACCGGAGGCATGCGGATGGGAGCCACGTGTCATCAACGGAGCCGGCCCACACTCCTTCAACAAGCAGAACGGAAGCATTCCGGCCTAATTGGGAAGTCATACACACCAGACGTACACGAGGCGGTGGCTGGACCGTAGCCCGTTCCACACAGGATGGAACCACTCTTTGAGCCTAGCACCGTCACGAGGACGGTGCACTCCGTCCCCTCCAGCGACGACCAACTGTCTCCTGGAGCCAGTATGGACGAGGTAGTGGGTACTAGACAGGTAGGCACCTTGTCAACCTTCACATCAGGCGCATCCACACCGGGGAGCTCAAGCAACACCTACTTCTGAAATGCAAGATCACTCATCACGCAGGCAAACGTACCACATCCGCCGCCTTATTGGCCTGGATTAGTAAACTGAATGGGAACATACTCATGATGTATTTATTCCGCATACAATAGTGCCTTCTCCGGCATCTGAGAGTCCGCCCTTTTGAGCAGTCCACGGAATTCGCATCGATCAAATTTGTCTTGCATTCGCAACACCTGAACTCAACATGAGTTTGTCATAAACTCACCTTCTGCATGTTCTGGTAATGTTATTTCCGGTTTGCTCGATTGCCGTTTCCCTGCACTAAGTGAACCGTACAAAAGCGGTATGAGTATCCTCGTGGAATTCATTCGATATACATATATACATAGATTGGCGTCATCTGTGTCCAATGGCATTTCGAATACAACATATGCACATGTGTTTCCACGGACTTCATTATTAGCTGTCACAAACTGGACAGAGACACATTAGTCCGCATGAACAAGCATGTATGAACAAATATGTATGGGTTTCATTTGGAGGTCAGGATAGGAGTTTCTTACACAGGCATGAGAATAAGTACCCAATACGTACTGTTGGTGTTCGCCTCTAACGGCCTATTTGGCACGACATATATATATATATATATATATATATATATATATATATATATATATATATATATATATATATATAAGTTCTGCGTGGCTCTTTCAGCTTTTATACTCGCTTGAATATTGAATCTATATTCTTTTTGATGCTCTATCTGGATAGCGTGGCCATAGTTTCCATACATTGTGGCGTTTGTTTTTGGTTGATGTCATTGTGCATGCGTCTCCTTTCATACTTCCTTTCGTAGTACGCTTCGTTCAACAAGCGAATGACGGCACTGAATGATTTGAACAGTCTGTTTCTACGCCTTAGTCCAAGTGACGTTTGCTACGCACCACTTGTGCAAACCCCAATTGTGGACCCTCTCACTATTGAACACGTTGCCAATTGGATGCATGAAAAGCAGGTAAGTGTGACTCGTTTATTTACCACCTAGATCTGATGGCACTGCACTGGTCCTTTTGGGATACAGAGGCGATAAATTGCACCAGCAGCTAGTGTTTTATATACATCCTTGTGATAGTTTCAAGATGATTTTGTTAACATGCCTTCAGTACAGTTCAGTTGGACAATTATGATCTGAGCACCGAAGTGCGGTGGATCGGATTGCCACGACTCACATCGCCAGAATAACAATAACTAACAACAGCAAGATAGTGAAGTTGCATGCAAATACAATGTGAAGAAAATGCGAGCAAGAAGGAATTGCGTTAAACTAATCAGAATGGAACGAAAACCAACTACCAGATACAAGAAGCCGAATGCAGGAACATCACTGACTGCGTGACTGCGCCATGTCGTATACAGTCCCCAACCACTGCACTTTGAAGGTGCAAAGCATATGCCGAGGCGTGCAGCGCCGCACCTCGTTCTATATAGCAGTGTTTGCATAACCACTGTTAGACCCAAGAAGAACTATATCGTCCGCGTACTCCAGGTTTGTCAGTTGGTCACCGATTGTTTCATGATCATTTCGACCACAAAGTTTGAAAGGTGATATGCGACAACCCTACCGAACCCCACCTTCGTAGGTATCTCCGGAGTGTTTCCCGTAGACCCATACATGGCCTCGGGAGTCACTATAGACAGACTTCACAATTGAAAGGGATTTAGCTGGCACGCCCTTCATTTATGGGCGGTACCACAAACTGGCGCGGTTGCGACTTTCAAGTGAAGGTAAACCACAATAGTCTATCGTTTGGGTGTCTCTGCTTTAAAACTTGACGAGAAGTAGATATGTAGTGGATACAATTACGACCAGGGCGGATTCGGTCCTCACAAGGACCATTAAGTCGTCGAAGAATGATATCCGTGTGAAGTTTAGATGCAATGAGAACAAGGCTAATGCCTCGATGATTCTCGCACAAAGTGCGCTGACCTTACTTGAAGATGGGCACGACAGTTGACAGTCGCCAGTATGAAGACACCTCTTCAGTGTTCCAAATCTTCTTAAATAGGGAAGCAAGTCCAGAGAATCATCATTTATCATCATCATTATACACGTTAGCTACAGGTGAAAAACACCTCAGCTATTGTGCCGAAATACGAAAAACAGGAACAAACAACAATGGCACGCCGCTGAGTTCTCAGTAACGGATGAGAACTAACAGAGCTAACGGAGAGCTAACAGCCGGCTATCGTGCCGCAAAAAAGTTATTATGTCTAACGGATGAGATCGTGATTGTAGAGGGAAGTTAAGCAGGAGGGGGATGGACAAAGGAACTCACAGCACAAACGCCATTAGGGCAGGCTCCTTGCCCTATCAGCAAGTGTGCCCAACCCAACATGTTCATCGTCCTTAGGACCCCAGCCAGGCAGTCGGGATGCAACAATCGACGCCAACTTCGTAGTGAGGTTTTTCATTTCTCTCGACCTAGTCATCGTTTGGTTTCCCCTCCTCCTCTTCCAATCGCACCTCCAGCGCGCAGACAACGCACGTCGCGGGAGTCCGTGTGCTGGCATACGCAACACGTGGCCCAGCCATCGGAGTCTGGTGTTTCAGATAATTGTGCTGAGCAGTTCAGTCGCTCTTCCTTCACCAAATACGCGACGCCGAACACTCCCATTGCTCACGCGGTGCTCCCACCAGACATGAGCTAAGCTGCGAAGGCAGCGATAATGGAATGTGACGAGCCACTTTCTGTCTGTCGACCTGACGGGCCAGATTTCAAAACCATATAGGAGGGTTGGACGGACGGCTTCGTTATGAATTCTGCCATTAAGGGCGAGAGTAATGTCGCGTCTGGGCCACAGGTGGCGGAGATTGGAAAAAGCACCTCGAGCTTTTACTATACGTTTAGTAACCTCAGGGGTGTGTCCCCGCCAATCTTGGAGAAGTACTTTGCATTTCGATGGAACAAAGCATAGCCCAAAAGGATAGACAGCCAGTGCTAATCGGTCCAGTGCTGCTTAGTGTCATGTTGCCCTTCGGGAAGCAAGAAGACGGCCGCGATCACGAAGTCGTTTATTAAGATTACGCTCGAATGTTTTAGAGTATATACACTATTTACAACAGCCCGTTTCAATGGCTCATCTATGTTATTTGTATTGTGTCGCTGACTCCTTTTCCATTGGTTTATGCTTGCTCGCCACGTTCACTCTGTCTAAAATCACCTTGACTTTCTTAGTTTATGTACGATCTGCGGGATTGGGCCAGCGCGCTTCTTCCCTCGGTCCAATGCCACAAGCCTTGGCTTAAGGGTGCACGAGTATGCACTCCTTCGCCTGCTGACGCCTGATTGGTCACTTACACGTTCAGTGAATAGTTGCAGGCTGGACGCAGGGACGGGTCGACTATTTCCTGATTGGCTGACCAATCTGCTCCCGGCAACATGCTCGCTCCCTATCGGTCTGGCCTGTGACGTTTGATCGGCATCACAGCATTTCCAGCCTCCATCACCTCCTTTCCTTTTGCGTTTTTTAGCATGGCGTTACAATATGTTCCGTATTGCCTACCACTTCGTGTGCGTTTAGTGTCCTGGGCTTGGGTAGCAGTATTCCTCTCCGGTTGTTTTTGCTGACCCTCTCTTTGCGGTGTCCACTTCTGACACACTCTACTCAGTTGCACCCGGTTCCGTCGAATGAGATTGCCCCCAACCTTGACTTCATAGCTCCTCTCTCCCATCCGGTTTTCGATCACTCCTTTCCGACAGCATCCACCGGATTGCGGTAGCGGCTGCACCCATACTTCTTCCGTCGGCCGGTGGCCGAGTGGTTGGCACATTAGCTTTCCAACCATAAGGTCACCGGTTCGAATCCGCGTAGGGGTGGGCGTCCTCGCGGTATACTCAGCCCGCGCGCGACTGGTGGTGGTCGCGCGGAGCGAAGCGCCGTTACGGCGTATAAGCTGACACATACTTCTTCCCCTGTGCCTAGTGGTGAGAGGTTTTTCGATCCGCGATCATAGTACTTTTTTGCCATAACATTCTGTTCCGTACTCGGTCGTGTAAGACATCGGACGGCGCTATCTCGGGTTGCAGTAGAGTTGTAGCGGTCGGTATTAGCGTTCTTGTTCGGCGACTGAATAGACGCTGTACAGGACTCGCTCCGATATCAGTAGATGGTGTATTCCTTCGGTCCAGTAGCATTATGTACGGATCTTGCTGGGTCTCCTTATCTTTTGTAAGCCCTTTCTTCACTGCGGACTTAGCCTTACTGTTTGATCGGCTATGGTATGGGCTGGTTAGCCGGTGACGAAAATCCCACTTCTTGCTGAATGCACGAAACTCTGCACTATTAAATTGCGGCCCGTTGTCTGAAATCACCACCTCGAGTATTCCATGCCGAGCGAATTGGCACCGCAACTTGTTCACCACGGATTGCGTACTAGTTGTCGTAAGCGCATGGATCTCGAAGTAGTCACTAAACTAATCTACCACAATCAAATAGTTCCTTCCATCGTGCGAAAAGATGTCTAGTGCAACCATCTGCCAGGGTCTGTCAGGAACGTCACGTAACACCATCGGTTCTCTTGGCTGGCGTACGTCGTGTGCTCTGCATGCTACACAATTGGAGACGTAGTCACGTATTTGGCTAGTCATTCCGGGCCAGAACAACAGCTCTCTAGCTCTTGCCACGCAGTTGTTGGTTTCTAAATGTGCACAATGTATCAGCTCCAGCATCGAACGCTGCAATGCCTTTGGAACCACTATCCTGTTGCCTTTGAATATTAATCCATCCTGAGTAATGAGTTCGTCACGAAAATGGAAGAATGGGGTCAGACCCTTTGGTAACTTTTTCTTGTCTTCATGATCGTGTGCTTCAGTAGCCTCCACAATTTGTCCTCCTCAGTGTATCGTTGGACATGGTGCAAGCGTTCCTCAGTGGCGGCGATCAGCTGTGTTGCATGGACAAAATCTGGGTCTTCTTCCTTTCCTGACGGGTCTGATAGGTGCGCTCTTGACAGCGCGTCCGCAATGTGCATCTGGGATCCTGGCCGGTAGCCAATCTCTAGATCATACTTCTGAAGACGAATAAGCATCCTTTGCAGGCGGCGTGGAACAACATGGAACGGCTTGCTGGCGATCGACACTTGGGGCTTGTGGTCGGTAAAGGCGGTGGATTTGCGGCCAAACGTATAGTCATTGAAACGCCCCACGGCGCAAACCAATGCAGGCATTTCTTTCTCTATTTGCGCGTAACGACGCTCGGCCTCTGTCGGCGTCCGGCTGCGAAAGTCGATAGGCTTTCCGTTCTGCATGAGTGCGGCTCCGATACCATACTGACTGCTGTCACTGGATCTCGAACGGGAGTGCTGGGTTATAGTAAGCGAGAACGGGGCGCTCGTGATCAATTCCTTTATTTTCTGAAATGCTCTCTCCTGCTCCGCGTCCCAATGCCACTTCTCACTCTTATGCGTCAGTTTTCGAATCGGTACCATTACATCGGCTAATCTAGACAAGAAACGACTTAGGTAATTCACCATCGCTTTCAGCCTGCTAACGGCCTTCACATCAGTAAGAGGAGGCATCTGTTACATGGTCCTGACTTTCTCTGGGTCTGGTTTCAGTCCTTCGGAGTTTAGCACGTGTCTATGAAACACCACTTCCCTCCTATGCAACTCGATCTCTCGTTTTAGCTTGATGTTTCTTTCAAAACAGCGCTGCAAAGATCGGTGAAGGTTCTGATCATGCTCCTCTCGCGTTTCGCCAAAAATCCAAACGTCGTCTGCTACACAGAACGTTCCTGATAAATCGTCTTAAGCCTGCACCAGTCGTTTCTGGAATACCACGCCAGATACCTTCAGTCCAAACTGTAAACGAACCCAGCGAAAACGCCCGAAGGGTGTCCCAAACGTAGTCAGGTAGCTTGACTCTTCGTCAAGTAATACATGCCAAAACGCAGCAGCAAGGTCGACTTTAGTGAATATTCTAGCTCTGGATAGCACCGTAAGTAGGCCGTCTAGCG